CTGCCTATCTTCCAATCAACAGTCAGTGTCTTAACCACTTGAGCCACTCCATCTCTATTGTATCATAGAATATATGTTATAAGATAGAAAAGTTTATAATATTATAAATAATAAATAATCTACAACTTTAAAATATTAGATACTATCTTTATATACAACTAGATTATATATAGAGGTGCTTTTTTCTTGCTTTAGAGAACAGAGGAGCGTGGGAAAGGATAGAAATGGATTAATAAACTGTAAAATGAAAATGAGGAATTATTTAAAGAGATAAAGCTTGAAGATATGGGATTGATGTACCAATAAGCAGTTTGAGATAGGAGGTTAATAATATTTTTAGAAAGAATTACCAAAGAACAAAGAAGGAAGTCAGAATATTATGGAATACAAGAGTGAAGAATTGAAGGTTAGTTATTAGAGTGAAGGATTATTATTATTATTATTATTATTATTATTATTATTATTATTATTCTGTTTATTTATATCCCACCTTTCTCCCAACACAGGGACTCAAGGCGGCTAACAAATCTAAAACAGTCCAAGTTAAAACAGTAGAAAACATTAAAAATACAAAGTTTAAAAAATAATTCAAACAATTAAAAATTACTTTATTAAAAATTTACAGTTTAAAATTATTTAAAACAAAAACAAAACAGCATCCATGTTGTAGTATGTAGGATGTAGGAAGAGTAGGAGGGAAAGTGAAGTGAAAGTGAAGAAGATGTAGTATGTGGTGAGGGTGAGAGTAAGTGTTGAAGAATAGAAGAGGTGAGATGAGATGGGATGGTGGAAGATAGAAAATGAGGAAATAGAAGTATTACAGATGGGAATAGGAAGACAGTGATAGGAGGAAATATAAGAAGGTATAAGGAGGTAGCTCAAGGAAGGAAAGGTAGAGAAATGAAAGAAGACATAATGTAATGAATGGAAGAATTTGAATGGAGGAAGAAGGTGTGAGGTGTTGTTTCTACCTGATTTTTTTGTAGGTGTATGTATATGTATAGAGCAGTATGTAATGTGTTTAAAATGTGCATTTATTAGTATGTTTAGTATTTGACTTTTTTATTTTAATACCTGATTTGTTATTTTGAAACTAATAACAATATAAATATATAGAAATACCAGCACCATGAATTGTACCCAGAAGAATTCAACAAACACAACTGCATTTCCTTTCAAATTGTTGTTAATATGAACAAATGTGGTTGTATTAGTAATACTCTGCCTGGTTTTGAGTGGTCTTCAATAGTGGGTCTAAGTATAAGTTAAGATGTTATCAGAGTAAAGATCACAGTCTAGTCCCATCAGGTTTAGTTTGGGGGGAAGCAGACGGGCGGTATGGGGCCGCCCCGGGAAGCTGCTGATCAGGGCCGAGGCATCCGCATTCCTCGGCCCCGCAGCGCAGCGTCCCTGCTCCAGGAAATTTCTGACAGCAAAAGGTGTCCGACACACCTTCAGCATCTCTTCTGCTGCAGCGTGTGCGGACGCTGCAGCGGAAGTGTGTCGTCGGAGCGC